ACGTGCAACACAATCGCATAAGTAATCTGTTATCTAGTATAAGTTACCAGTTAACACTTATTTACATATAGAAAGTAGTCGTATACGATAAGACAAATCGAATAAGAATAGGAAGAGGGATAAGGGGAAAAAGAACTGGAGTAAAGTATTATATATTTGGCATGTTTTTTCAAGAACATACTAAATTGATGATATAATTAATTCAATGTCTGATGAAAGAATAAAAAGTATTTCTGGTGTGATCTGGTTTCGTCTGTTTAATATTGGATAATGAACCCAATCGAATTTTGTTTGGATAAACGTAAATTACAGTTGTTTTTTTTATTCACTTACCACACATGGACATATTCGTCTCGATGAAAGTTAAATAAAAATGAACAAGGGTAGATTCACAATCACTCATTATTACACTGAAATAAATTTCTGTGATAATTGAATCATAGTAAGAATTAGTAGTGAAATAATTAGATCTATATAAGGCACAAAAACAAGAACTGTAGAAGAAGCATCAATCGGATATATCAACAGAATAGTCTGTTATAAGAATTTACCACAAACAAATAAAAATGTTAATCAAATACTTGAGGTGTACAATAACTAAACCGTTTATTCACTGCATTTTAATTTTATATTGAATAATGTCACATTTTGAATCAAGTATTATAATTGTCAAACTTATCACTGAATAATTAATAATATGTCGTACACAATTTACTAGTTGTGAGAGTTAAAATATGCCTAATCCATTCCATGACAAGTGACCTACTCTATATCATTGTTAATGGTGTGCAAATCATTATCTCAACACCATTGAACAAATAATTTGCTAGAGTGTTCAATATTCACATTAAACAGAACAGTCACGTAGTTAATAGCTATCTGGATTAATCTTAGAGTAATATTGTTTAACTGCCACACTGAACAACATCATTCATGACATATTCCAATTAATTACGAAAAGTTTAAAGGCATATGAAAAAGTTAACAGTCGTACGGTTTACTCTGTAAGAAATAAAAAATGAACGATAGTGTCCAGTCTTATACTTAAATCGAATAGTCATACCGCGATTATGTTATTCAGTAATTTAGTTATATTGATTAGTTAAAGCAGATAATCCATTTATACTGTAAAATATGCACTCACATTGAATTATTGATTAATGCAATGTAACTTACCGCCAGTCCAATGATTTCAGATTTGATTTTTGACTGGATATTTGAATGAAATACACTTCATAGTAACTTTAGATATTGTTTTGATCAGTAGTGGATTTGTCCGCAGTTTAGAACACGTAGCAGAACCAGTATTCTGTCAAGTCATTACAGTTACTCAATGTTGAACAGTTTTTCAGCCATCGATTATTTGTTCAACAAACAGATATTAATAAAATATCAAGATCACAAGCTGATATAAAAATATTGTCTTATTCACACAGTATTGTCTGAACGCATTTTATTGAATTGTCTTTGGTATTCTATACAAAATGACAATATTGATCAAGCTGGAATCTTTTCTGGAAAACACTTCTTTCACTACATATGTTTAGGTAAATTTAAAATTTTTATCAATGTCTACTGTGAATTTGTAGTGTTCTAATTAAAGTTGAGTGTGTTTAAAACAGTATTCAAATTTATTTGTACGAGTCCACATTTCCACGTTGTTAATTTTAATCTGTCTCACAATTAGTTATTGACACTGTAGTGGACGGTGCTATGTCAGGCCCACATTGGCTATTCTAGCTTCTGGACAGATCAATTTATTCATTCTACTCGAGCTGCACTTTGACCTTGTCACTTGTCCGCTTATTAACCTGATTGTTTTTATATGATCGTATGTGCGTGTATTGCTTACCCTACTTATCACATATCTGTAGTTTATTTTTGTCTGAATATAAATATTGATTAACGCTTGACTAAATTGAGTTGACTCACTTACTTTCCACTCTGCGCGTCATTTCCTTTCGCTTCGCTTCCTTTATCTGATCGTCTGTCGGGATAAACGTGTGGTGGACCAAACAGTATATTAACCAAAAAGGAATAGTAATAAAGTTATTACGTCCAGAAGTTAATATAACAATAAACAACTTATAAATCATTAACGCAAAATAAAGGTTCAGGGACGTTGCTTAAATCAGCTGGCTGTTGCGTATTCCACTGTGCTTGGTACCAAAGATCCACAATTATAGATAATTAATAATTTCAATGAGGTAAATATGGCTCCAGCCAGTTTTCTCGACGTAGAATGCAATAGGAATGTCACAACAGTCTATAAATATAGTTGATAGTTAATAAATAGTTTAGTTATTATATCCACAGGGATGATAGAACGAGGCATGTGTGTATAAGAGTGTATTTATTAATGCATAGTTAACAATGTAGTCCTATGTGTAATTCAAAACGGAAGTAGTTATCAAGGTCACATACTCAAACAACAAGTACAATCGTTTAGTGATAAATGTACAGATTGTGGAAATAAACAAAATAAATGCGAAAGCTATCAAAAACTATTTACGAAACAGGTTTATTAGGCCTATCTCCACAAACGAATGCCAGAAGTAAATTCCTACAACGCCACCTGTATTTGGTTTCTTATTACTGCCGTCATACAAACGGGGTTAGTCTAGGTAATATACAAAGTTAAATGGAAGATTTATATTTATAGTATATTCATACATTCATCCAAATTGGGATCAGATCAGTTGACACCATAACATCAGACATATAAAGTCTTATAAATAAATTCATACGCATTGAACAAGTTGGTGATCAAACGGATTCAGCAGTTTAAGGGATAGTGTTTTCGTGCATGTTGTAATAGACACCAAATTCAAGTTTCAATTTTTCCTTATAACAAAAATACTTTTACAAAAACACATAAAGCCATTATAAGTAGCAATCAGATGGGTATGTCTATTCTGTCCAACTAATAAGCATCTATCATTATAGCTTAACCAAGTTTACATTGATTCGAACTTAGATTCTTCACTCGACGCTACTTATAAGAGCCAGACAATCAATACAAATAGGTCTACACAGGAATATTTTAAAGGATCAACTATAAGAAGTATTCTTCATTAGACAAACTCTCTTTACAGTAAACCCTACTTGATTTTGTTCACTTCTACTTAATATTATTTGCAATGATTCTACTTATTATCATTATTATTATGAAAGACTTGATCCGTATTTTCTTGGTTCTCGTTTCTTTCATAGATGCATATTTTTTTAGTTTATAGGTTAATTACATACCTAAAATTGATTCTGTTCACCCTAATGATCGAATATTTCTTATATTATGTAATTGTTTGCTGGAAATTGTGCAATCAATTTTCTCCATTACAACCTATTATATTGATATTTTCGGAAGAAAAAATATAAATTTTTCCGAGACCATTAGTTTATTTCTATAATGTAATGAGATTAAGTTGATCTGAAAACAAAATGGTGTATTTGCGCCATACATTTCGAACAATCTGATTCCATATGATTAAGTGGATTTTGCAAATGAGACTGGTAAAGTGTTCCAGATATAAAATATGAATGATAAGTACTGAACCCTGTCTACTGAAACTGACCTAATGATTAAGTCTTTCTATCTATTAAATCATTAACTCATTTATCAGGTACAGACGAGTGCATTTGGCTTTGAGATACACTCTAATTGTCAAGGCTAGTGACAATAGGCATCTAACCAAATCGAATTAGATGCGGCAGTTCAGATCTGATACTTAGTGAGTCCAGAGCTTTGATCGCTGAGCCACCACAATGTGAGTGATTAAAACAAAGAGATGTCATATGGATTACAATCAGGAAACAATAATTGTTTAACTGGTTAGAGAGGATCCTCGGATGCAAAACTTAATTTGGGTTATTCTTAATATTAAAAAGTTGCAATTTTTGCCCACCGTAAACAACATTATGATTGGGTTATTGAGTTTTGAATTACAGTTTTCTACCCAGTAGGTCGTTTGACAGTCAAAAACATTGATTAATTCAGCGGCTGGCCAGATACCAATCAAACACACCGAACCAGGCATCTTAAATTACTGGCGATACCCCCACGATATTCAGATGGAGAAAATCCTAGTCACGCCCTTCCTGTTACATCACTACTGTTTTACAGAGTTACTTTTCTTCACACACGCATACCACTGCTCTGAAATGACACTAACTCATGGTCTGAAGTTTTCCTTAGCGCTTACATACAAGACAATATCAACCACATCTGGTCACACTGAGAAGAGCATTCATTCGGCAGAGAATAATTAGCAGGCCTTGTTCAACTTAGTCGATCCCCGATATAAGTTTTGAGCACAAGTGATTCTCAATAAATTTACTAGTTTTTTGATTAACAATTGTGGTTGTATATTTGTACCAAATAAAATTGTTTGGAAATGTATTTAAGAATCTAAGTCATTGTCTACCGTGAAGTAAGATTATTTTGAAACTAGTAATGTACACAAGAGATGACATAATAATACCACGAAGGCTACAATCCATGAAGTTAACACCTATTGACAAGAAGCATGTTGGCTAACAAAATGAAAAACAGAAAATCGTCATAACTACTTTTCTCATTTGGTCTTTCATTGCAAAAGGTTATCTAAAGCAGAAAAGTTTACTCCTAATATTCTTAACTGAAAGACATGAGTTCAAACTACACAGGTAGAATGAACTTTATCGATGCTTTATGTACACCATATTAACGGTTCAAAGTAGGAACAAATTGGGGACTAGTTTTCCAAAATGAACATATAGTATAGTGCATTTGCACTCTTTTAACAGATTTCCAATGAAATGAATATAAACACATAGGGTACTAACATGGAAAGAGAACATCAATTATCTGGTTCTATTAAAATTATATTTCTCTTTCTAACTGATGAATTCACAAAAGATGTGAAGAAAAAACAATAACAACAGTACAAATAAGTATTAGTTTCCACCACGCTTAAATCAGACGTGATTTACAACAATTAACAGTAGAGTCGTTTCTAATTTTATGCACGTTTAGAAAAACCAGGGCGTACAGGCATAACATAATTAGCCGCAGCTTGATATTGTAGTTGATAAGCCAAAGGATGTATTTTAAAGCCAAATAACCTGTTAAAAATGAAATAAATAAAAAACAACAGTGTAAAAATAAACAAAACCTATGCACTGAAATATGTTTACTGTTTGACAGAGCCTATATGACTTTTATAAACTCCCAATACTACAAAATAGTTGCCTGGAATATTTGAAGTTGTTGTGAATTAGTTACTGTTTCATGTACTAAATTTATAGACGTGTTAAAAACTATCCTATTGATTTTAAATTTTAATACCAAGTATTGTTGACCTGATAACATTCCCAATAGTTCAACCTTATAGAGGAGGTAATATGTTGAAGAGAACTACATTGTAGGAAAATTACGAACTACTCTAGCGTTGTAACATAATTTACATATTTAAGTGATGGAAACTTTATTTCCAGTGATGATTTATAGATGAATAATTCTTTTTGAACTCAGTTACAATACTTTGTCAGTCTCTTATAGAGTTTATTACTTTGAAAACCGACATCATTTGGAGTTAATGAAGTGCAAAAATCCAAAACGCTATGTTGTTTTAATTTGGAACAGCTTGTGTGTTCGTACTATCGACCCCACATGGAAGTCAACTGAAAATAAAAAGTATTCGTGTATGTTAACGGAATATAGACTGGATTAATGCACGTTCCGTGCACAATTGTATTGATACACGCTGATTGGTTATTTCTTATCCAATCAGCGATAGTAGATTCTTGGAGAAGACTCTAAAATCTCATGTAAAAACTATAAACATACTAACGATTTTCTTGTTCTGATTCCTACTTCCATCTACCCTTATTATCTGGAATATAATTTCGTTCCTGTTCAACCGTGTTCTGATTTAGGGAGTTGTCGAGTGAAGTAGTGTCAAAAAATAATAAGGAATAGGAATAGCTGGGTCGTAATAAGAGAAATTAAAAGTGTGATAAGCTTTATGATTGAATTCCTACTTTAGAATGCCATTAAGTTAAAATACAATGCTATTATTACCCCATATTATCAGCGATTATGTAGTTCTACCCATTTATCCTTGAAGGATAAATCCTAAAACTTTCGATAGGATTTTAACATCTCGTTTAGGAGGTTTTTGATGTGGTGATGAGACGAAATTTTTTAATTGTTAAAATCATTGAATAGGATTATAATCGGCAGACGAACACAACGGCCACGTGATCGAGTGATGATTACTTAAGAGATCGTATTATTGATGGTTAGAAATTAAAGACAAGACCACTAGTCAGATAAGTAGTTTCGCGTGTAATAAAATGTCATTATATCCAGAATATGAACACAAAATAAATGCAATCAAATATCACAGGTGATTGAAGGAGATTAGCTTGCAGGTTGCTCATTACCCAATCAAGACCTGGTTGTTAGGTCTAAACTTTTGGCATCGTATCATAACTAAGTGAAATGGAAATCTTCAGAGGACTATATATCTAAATAACTGTTGTATTAATTAACAAGCTTATTTTTATGAGACGGATAGTGAGTTACTTTGAACACAAACATTTTAACAGTTATTTGGATGAACATTACTAAATGAATAAATGGTTTCAGGCTGAGGATAACAAAGTTCAGATAGCGTTTATTTAACAGCATAGGCAAACCAATTGCTGTTTATTGAATAACTATTTGAACTAATGCACACTTTATAAGTCTTGTTACTATTTGTTTCAATAGTTGGACTGAGCCATGTAGATATATGCAGACTACCTGGTCTGGGTCCGTGTGATTATTGTAACCGGTGGTTAGAGACTTGGAACGACACGAATCAAAATCGTTCACAATTGAACAGGTGCATCCACTGTTTTTCCTTAAATTTTAAGTTCCTAAACTCCTTATAAACTTATTTGATTATGTCACTAATTTATATTTTTCCTCTAAAATTGTATCTTTCATGCCTAATCTTTTGTACTGTGAATAATACCGTTGATACCTCTACTACTCTGAGGTTCGCTCTGAAACTCATCTCGCTGTGCTAACGGGGTATGGAAAATTGAACCGATGCACACATATCCCAGGTTCTGCGTCCTGTTTGACTGAGTGACTGTTTTGTTTACCTTTGTGATAGCTACGTAACACAATACTGTGCTGCTGACTTCGAATTTAAACTTTTCCAGTTCGTATCGTTTTGTCTTGTTTGCATGCGGTTGGATTATTACTGATTCTAAAGTACTATTCAATTAATACATGTTAATGAGATGGTGGAGAAGATTTGTAGCTCAGGTGGATGATTTTGGTGGAGTTTTGTTCTCTGAGCTGGATGGTTTGGTCGTGGAGCTTTCATCGTTCTTCTGAACGACATCATCAGCACAAACTTCAGATAGAAGTTTGTGCTGATGATGTCGTGTTAATATCACGGAAGGAAATTCCTTGAAAACTTGACAGTTTTAACACGTTCAGCTACTCATTAAGTATTATTCAGACACTAGGTGTATAAACATGCAACAAGTAAAAAAAAACTTAGGTCGATTTTACGGCTGTTTCTTTGAAATTATGCAACAGCTGCCTTCGAGAATTATATAACTTGAAAGTTAACATTAAGTAATAAATTAAGTACTCAGAGATGAACAAAGTAAGACTGAATTCTCTTTTATTCATTTAACCAGAAATATATAGAGTACGATCAAATTAACATCAAAGGATCCTTTAAGTACCATATGTATGAGAGGCATAGACAGTTTAGCATAACTCAATGAATGTTTCAGAGTATTAAAAACGAAAGTTTAGTGAAATCAAAGATATACTCTACCATACATTTAAGAGTATTCGTAACCCGAAACAGTGGAAAGTTTCTAAAAACAGTTAATTTTATTACACAGATGGACTTTCAGCAAGCATCAGTCAACAAAAAGCTGGTAACTCACCTATCAGGCACAGATCCATGTACTTGACTTCAAGTGACACTCTAAGCGCGAAGCCTAGAGATACTACCCGGTCACTCAAAGCGAATTAGGTTGAGTTAGGCTCAAACTTGTGACTGAAAACAGGCGTTGGATTACGAAGCTGTATTATATTATTTTTCTCCTAAGTAATTAATACACAATTTGTATAGCATATCAAAATACGTATAAACACTTCCTATAATAAAACCTACCTTGCAGTAAACTGTTTACTAGCTCGTTTTGGTCTGTACTCTGGATGAACTAAAAACAACATATGCGGAAAGCCAGTACCGAAATACGCTCCATCTGTATGATGATGACGAGTAGATTTCGGTGTATAGGTATCTTGACATCTAGGACAATATATCTTAACCATAGCTTCACCCGGAACGTCTGATAAACCGACTGGTAAACATGGTTGACTTTCACAGTAAACCTTTGATAGTAAAAGCATTAGAAAAAAGAATATTAATACCTTCGCATTTAGATACATTAAAGCAAACTTTTCCAATGTACTTGGAAACTGGTGAATAATCGGGATATCGCACAGAAGGATGAAATAAGCACTCGCTGATTTATAGATCTAAACTACTATAAATTTCCTTGTAGTCGTATGTAAGATTATAACGATAACTAACGACTGGTGTTTGTGGTGGACTTACCTATTCTAATGACACAGGCTATTTGGAATTTTGAGATGGTGGAGAGGGCGAGGACACACTGCAGCACGAAAAAATGAAGAGAAATACCTGAAGGATTATTATTTATTTTATTTATTTGAACACATAAATATCGGTACAAGGGGGCACCAAATATAAATGCGCCACACGAAACAATGAGAATGGGGAAATGAACAATAATGGCCAGATTAGCGTAAGGAAGTGTAATTATTATTATTATTAATAATAATACTAATACTAATACTAATACTAATAATAATAATAGGGGAAACGGAAAGGTACAACCAGAAGAAATCTTTCAGCTAAGGAAGATACAACTTTTCATGAAGAAAGTACAAGAATGTTACAGCAAGATCGCCACTGGCTTTAGTTCTGAAACATATTTGATAACATCTCTAGCCACTGTGTCGCATCATCTCTTGGACCCCAGCCAGGGAGTCGTGAAGGAACAACACAAGCCAGTGTTGTTGCTACCTTGACGTGGTGGTCGGGCTTGCCTATCGTGATGAAGCAACCGAGCTATACTGGCTGGAACAACCGTTCCTCAAGGTCCTACCATGTCGGACAGGTCGGTTGAAGAGCGGTAAGACTAAAAGCAACAAACCTAAGGTCCGAAGGCGAAGTCGTCCTGCTGATTGTACAGAGGTGTGACAGCAGTAAGGTGTTCACTTCAGACAACCAGCATGACAGCGATGCTACTTTCTCACAAGGAGGGGTGGGGTTAGAAAAAGTCGACCCTAAAGATGCACACCCCGCCTTATCCCACGGATATCCGTCTCCGGCGGTAAGGTCTCAACAAGTACGGAGCTAACACAAAAATTACCCATAAAAAGGTCGTGTGTGACCGACCTCAAGGAGTTGTCCCTTGGGCACTGCGGTCACGCTCTCAGGTCACTAAGACCACCTCTAATCCAATTTCCTTTTCAGGTACCTCCAAAAGAACCCTTTCACGGTGTGGGAGACCGGGAAGTGATAACCGCCCTCATACCTCTAACAGCACTCAAGATCACTGTATTCATAATCAACCTCCCTCTTCAATTCCTATTATTCCTCCTACATCGACTTTCAACTCTAAATTTCCTCTTTCGGCTTCCTCCTCAAGTGTCACCATAGCCAACGATTCTAGTGCTCAAAACACTGTCCAGGTCTACTGAAACCTCGCTCCAAACTACACATTAGAGCCTTCAACGTACGAACCCTATGTCAAATCGGTCAGCAGGCTTCCTTGGCTAAAACCCTAGAGTCTCTTACCACTGATGTATGCTGTGTCTCCGAAACACACATACAGGATTCCAGTGTGGTCATTCACTTGACCTCACCTCGTCAAAACGAAGAGCCAACGAGATATACTCTCCGTGTATCTGGTGACCCGATGGCCAGTTCTCGTGGACTGGCAGGTGTAGGCATAGCACTAAGCATGAGGGCCGAACAAGCACTGCTAGAGTGGATCCCCGTCAACAGTCGTCTATGTGCTGTTCGGCTAAACGGCTCCGTAAGAACTCGGAAGGATAGGGACACACGTCGTTGCCTTTTCGTCGTTTCTGCCTACGCTCCCACTGACTGCAGCTCAGATGATGTGAAAGATGAATTTTACAGAAAGCTTTCTGAACTTATTCAGAAAGCTAAACGCTCAGACATAGTACTCGCAGGGGGTGACTTTAATGCTCAGATAGGTAGCTTAAACCAAACAGAAATGCATTTAGGTGGATATTTTAGTATTTCGGCACAGCGAACAGATAATGGTGACCGTCTGCTGCAACTGTGCTCAGACAATCGTATATTTTTAGCAAACACAAATTTTAAGCATAAGAAGAGACATCGTCTAACATGGCGACCCCCTACACTAAACCAACGATGGACTCAAATAGACCATATTGCCATCAGTCATCGTTGGAGAGGGTCGGTACAAGATTGTCGCTCATTCTGGAGTACCTGCTTGGACTCCGACCACGCCCTAATACGGGCACGCATCTGCTTGCGCCTCACTGGACGCAAAAAAGCCACATTGAAAAGACCCATTAGAACTGAGTTGAGTAACGAGAAAACCAAAAGTAGGTTCCAGGAACAACTGAGGTCGCAGTTAGGTAGTTCTGAAAAGAGGCTGACCCAGATGCTGCTTGGAAAGATATACAAACAGCTGTGGAAACAGCAGTGACATCTATTAGTGACTTAAACCACAGAGTTACAAAGAACCAGTGGATTTCTTCAAGGTCTATCACACTGATGGATTCTCGCAAACTCGTCCCATCAGGTTCTGAACATGATGAAGAGCGTAAACAAATCAGATCTAGGTTAAGAAAACGTCTAAGGAACGACCGTGAGCAATGGTGGGCAACGAAAGCAAAAGAGATGGAAAAGGCGGCGACTATAGGGAACACGAGACAGCTTTACAGACTAATAAAAGAAACTGGAATTAATAAGTCAAGTGTAAGTGAGATTATTTCGGAAAAAGACGATACTCTCATCTGCTCCCAGTCCAGACGTTTAGAACGATGGGCGGAACATTTCAGAGAACAGTTCAGCTGGCCTTCAGCTACTCTACAACTACCCTCCATTCCCAGACAATGTGAATGGAACGTCGAAGTAGGTCCCCCAACTCTTGCTGAAGTTGAGAAGGCTATAGTTAATCTGAAACGAGGAAGGGCAGCTGGTCCAGATGGACTGGCTCCAGAGGTCTTTAAGGATGGTGGTCCAATTTTAGCGATTAGGTTGACTAATATTTTAGCTAAGATCTGAGAGTCAGACGTTATCCCATCTGACTGGTCGCAATCACTTATCGTCCCAATATATAAGAAAGGGTCAAAATCATCCTGTGACAACCACAGAGGGATTAGTTTAACAAATATAGTATCTGAAATACTAGCTTCGATAATTATCAGGCGCCTAACTAAGACTCGTGAACTGCAAACACGAGAGAACCAAGCTGGCTTCAGACCTGGTCGTGGCTGCATCGACCACATATTTACCATTCGTCAGGTTCTAGAGCATAGGCATACTTATCGGCGTCCGATAATGGTGGTATTTCTTGACTTAAAAGCAGCATTTGACTCCGTAGACCGCGAGATTCTGTGGCAATGTCTGTCATTGAAAGGCGTACCCCAGAAGTACATAAACCTTGTAAAGGCTCTTTACTCGAACACTACTAGTCGAGTCAGGGCTTATGGCGAACTGTCACCTACTTTTGCAACCTCAAGTGGTGTCCGTCAAGGCTGTCCACTTTCTCCATTTCTGTTTAACTTCATCATAGACCTACTGATGGAAATAACATTCTCGTCGACTGAATTCTCGGGCGTTGATCTCCTACAAGGAGGTCCACTTATCAACTTAGAATACGCAGATGACATAGTCCTGTTTGGTGAAGACGCTGATAAAATGCAGAGTCTTCTGGTAGCATTAAGCAACAATGCCAGAATGTTTGGAATGCGCTTCTCTCCCTCTAAATGCAAGTTGTTGCTTCAGGACTGGTCTGCGTCAACACCTGAACTAAGGATAGGGAGTGAAGAAGTCGAACGCGTCGACAACTTCACTTATCTTGGAAGTCTGATCAGCTCTAATGGGTCGGTATCGGACGAAATCTCAGCACGGATTCGAAAAGCTCGTTTGGATTTTGCCAACTTACGTCACCTGTGGCGAAGGCGAGATATCCATCTATCAATAAAAGGACGAGTATACTGTGCGGCAGTCCGTTCTGTTTTAATTAACGGCAGCGAAACATGGCCATTAAGAGTAGAAGATACTCGTAAGCTACTAGTATTTGACCACAAATGCCTTAGAAATATTACTCATATCTGCTGGGATCTCCGGGTAAGTAATAGTGAGGTTAAACGCAGGATATTAGGGAATGATGGTAAATCAGTTGATGAGTTTGTTAATCTCCATCAACTGAGATGGTTGGGTCACGTGTTACGTATGCCCGAACACCGATTACCACGACGTGCAATGCTAACCGGTGTTGGAGATGGTTGGAAGAAGGTTAGGGGCGGCCAAACCATAACGTGGCATCAGTGCTTGAAGTCACTAACTTCTAGTGTGAGCCATGTTGGTAGATGCAGACTACTTGGTTGGGGTCCGCGTGACTGTCGTAACCAATGGTTGGAGACTCTTGGTGACATGGCTCAGAATCGGTCATAATGGCGTCGGTGTATACACTCTCTGTCTTCTCTTAAACTAAGAGATTAAAATCGCTTCATATCTTTCCTTATACGAACTAATTCTTTCTTCCTGTACTATATCCTTGTATTCAATCTTTCTTTTATATATTACCACCTCTGAATTAACCACTTATATGAATCCGGTGTCCACCTTGTTGTGTTAATGAGGTATGGCAACTTGGACCGATGCATATATGTGCCTGGTCCTACGTTGTAGCTGACTGACTGAACACAAGCCAGCCCTTTACAGCTTTCTTTTATACCAAGACACCATGTCATGCACTGACCACTTCTCCGCTTCTTCCAACCAGTCCCAGAGTCTGCAAATAATGCACGACGTGAAATTCTCTGGGACGACACTCTTAGAACATGTCTAAGCCATTGAAGTTGGTGTTTTAAGATGGTGACACCAATTGCGTTATCGTCTCTGTGCCCGAACACACGATGCCCAACCTCTGCATTACTAACATGGCGTTGCCACTGGATGTCAGCAATCCTTCGGAGACAACGATGATCGAACAAAGATAGTTGTCTAACGTCCTCAACTCGGAGAGGCCAGGTTTCACAAGCATTGAGCAAAACTGCTCTCACCGACGCGTTGTAGATCCGACCTTTTACAGCCAGACTAACATCACGAAGGCGCCAAAGATGGCCCAGATTGGCATAAACCGTTCTGGCTTTCACTATACGTGAATTGATCTCATCACTCACACCACCACCAGAACTCATGCAGCTACCTAGATACACGAAATTCTCAACTACTTCTATCTTTTCACCATCCAGAGTGAGTACAAGATTAGAATCCTGCCAGTCTCGTAGAAGTACTTTGCACTTCAGAGGTGCAAAGCACATACCATACCTACGGACATTGATTGCCAACTGATTAAGTGCGGATTGCATGGCTTGGGCATTATCGCACAGTAAGACAATATCATCCGCATACTCAAGGTCGAGAAGTCTTTCCCCGGGCAACAGACCCACACCACCATTACTTACGTCCATCAGAGCTGTTCCCAGAATGTCGTCGATGGCAAAGTTGAAGAGGAATGGTGAGATTGGGCAACCCTGCCTAACACCACTGCTCGAATGGAACAATGGAGAAAGGTGGTTGTGTGCCCTCACCCTGTCTGAGGTGTTTGTATATAGGGCATTTAAGGTGTGAATAAACTTCTCAGGCACACCCTTCAGTAGACAATCCCAGAGAACAGTCCTATACAACGAATCGAAGGCAGCCCTGATGTCAAGAAACACTACGATTGTTGGCCTTTGATAAGCATGACGGTGTTCTAACATTTGGCGGAGGGTGAAGATATGATCAATACATCCTCTATCAGAACGAAACCCAGCCTGCTCCTCGCGAGTCAATCATTCTCGGGTTTTGAACAACCTACGAAGTATGACGGAAGCCAATAGCTTGGACGCAATCGGAAGTAGACATACCCCCCGATAGTTGTTACAGGAACGACGTAAACCCTTTTTGAAGATAGGGATAACTATCGGCTCATTCCATGACGTTGGTACACTCTCTAGTTTCCAGACCTTTGTAAACAACACAGACAGTTCCTTAACCAGAAAGTCACCATCATCTTTAAAAAGAACCGGTCATCTGGCCTCGGTGATTCGTAGCTCTTCAAGAGTTGGAGTTCCTTGCGGACTTCCTCCTCATTTGGTGGATCAGTCGTCACCGGCCATGGAGGACAGGACAGTCTGACCGATGTTGCCGGAGCGGCAGGCCAGTTGAACTGCCCTTCGAAAAATTCTGCCCATCGTCCAATAAGTCGATGGATGTTGGTGATTGGCATCCCGTCATCCTCGCAGATTGTTTCGCTCACACGAGACTTCTTGCTGCCAGCGGCTCGGATGAGTTGGAAGAGCTTCCGGTAGTTACCAGATGGAACTGTTGCTTCCAGCTCATTAACACGTTCCGACCACCAGGTTTCTCGGTCCAATATTTATGTGCTCAAATAAATAAATAAATAAATCAAGATCTTTTAATTCATATCCCTATTTATTTTGATATACTTTAATATTTCCTCACTTGAACTATTATGAATACATTTCTGTGTTATGTAGGTAGTGCAAAATAAAATGAAAAAAATGCTAACTTTAGTTATGATTGCGAAAAAAATGAAACAAGACTGCTTTTATTTCATTTAAATGTCAAAGTGAAAGAATATTTACAAGTTCAACATATGCAAGCAGGAAAAGTTTACTTACTCTAGGACAATAACCGAAATCCCCTTGCTGCCATTTCGCCACCATAAAACAAATACCACGATTTGTCAGAATGTATCTAGAATGTATTAGTCCATAAAGCATTTCAGCTGCTTGTTCAATGAGATCGGTATTTTCTGGATTATCAGAAGGGTCTGAAAGTATTTTTTAAAAAAACCTCATATTAAGTGACTGACCTACCAGAACAAACGTATCTAGCACAAACCTAGCAAATAAGTTAAACCCTCGATAAGTCAGGGAAAATATTTGACTCAGTGGTTTACTCTCTACAAAATACGGAGATTGATACGCACGCGTGTAAAAGTCAGCAAGCTGTTCTTAACAGTTTATCTGATGCCAGTTATGATGCAATATATCAACACTTGTAAACTGCCCTTGCTTAACTCACCTATTTACTTAGTAGTGAGGCGAGTCTCAAAAAAAGAACGGTGGAACATGGAACAGTGAGAAAAACATTGCTATTTCTTATGATGAACAATGGGTTCAGTATCCTAGAAGACCTAGGTTTCACACTATGCTAATTGTTAGCTTCCACTGGAACGCTAACCCATGAATGGCTTCATTTCTCTGCAAATGCTTCCCTTTAAAAGAACTTCTAGGAAAAAAACTACTAGAGAATTCGGACTAAACGATTCACAATCATTCGTTATAGCGCAGACCCACTCACTCTTTATCTCTAGATTTTGAGTTCGTGTTCTTTTATAACAATTTGCTTGTTCTTTCAAACCATTTGAATTTTCAATATTTAGTTTTTCTCATTCTCCTTATTACATTATTTCGACTTTTCTGGTTAGTTTCATCTCATAGCACTGTAGTACGACAACTTAAAGAAACGTACATCTGTATCAGGCTTTGCGTTGATGATAACTGTTTGGTTTTTGAAGCATCAGTTTTATCCAGACACTATAAACAGGAAATAACTTGAAAGAGAATCGAACAGTGACTAGCGAAACTGTAGGAGGTGTGTAACTAACACCGATGTCTAAATGGTTTTCTTAATGATTATGATGAAGACAATCTTGAGGGGATAAACTCATTGTCAATAAACTTTTACAGTAGGAGGCTAGATTGATAAGTGAAGCGCCTATTTACATCTACACACCACTCGTTAGCAAAGTGATTCCAACAAATAGGTGCGTTAACAGCGACTTTCCAACCTTTTAAGAAATTGAAAAAGCTGTGATAGAGTTGGGACAGAAATGCAGCAAGACGTGATGAACCATCCCAAAAGACGGTTATCAATAGTCAGTCAGTCAGCTACAACGTAGGACCAGGCACATATATGCATCGGTCCAAGTTGCCATACCTCATTAACACAACAAGGTGGACACCGGATTCATATAAGTGGTTAATTCAGAGGTGGTAATATATAAAAGAAAGATTGAATACAAGGATATAGTACAGGAAGAAAGAATTAGTTCGTAGAAAGAAAGATATGAAGCGATTTTAATCTCTTAGTTTAAGGGGAGACAGAGAGTGTTATCAATAACTACTATTGGGAAAGAGTCACACTCCATTTTACGAAGATTAAAGATTATCCAGATCGGCTTTGGTTTTTCAAAAAGGATTCACTCTCTTTAACTTATTGCTAAACCGGAACTGTTACTCTGGTGCACCAGGTAGGCTCGCCAATTGTAGCGGTCGAATGCAACTATATCAAGCATTTCTTCAGTCCATATTACACCTGGCATTTTAGTTGAGGAACGGCGAACCAAAAGTAAGGATCCTCAAGTCCAAGACACCACATAATGTTACTTTTCCAAATTTAGATAGTTGCAAACGTTAGTAATGAGGAAATAGCGAAGCAACCGAAATATTTCTATACCAGTGTAGATCAAGTCTATAATTCACACGGAAAAACAACCAGATTTAATGACATGCAACATGAAGGCACACAGTACCAAATTTTAGCATCCAAAAGATTTACGAAAAAAACAAGATGCAACAGACGGTAATCTTACGAAACAAAAAGATCTATAAACGTCTTACCAGTTTCCAAATCAAGTATCATATCGAGAGCATCACGGTATTCAGGAACTTGCTCTGATAAACCGGTAAGGTTGAATCGATCTTGGATGTAATCCTCCTCTACTTCACAAAAGAACTCATTCCCACGTAGGCCACAGAACCATGATATCCAAGAGATTTCATCACTACTACTCATGTTTTATGTAGTACAATTCTCCAAAATTTAGCTTTAGTATGGTAGTCAGTCAAACTCTTTACCCAGTTCAGATTGAATAATAAGCTGGCTAATCAACAACAATCGAAACAAAAATTTCAAATAAGAACAAATATGACATGATAGATTAACTTATCAGACAAATAAGTGAGGTCGATTGAAACTATACAAGATAATGGGTCATCATTTGCGAAAGCAGAAATTTAAAGCCTTCCACTCTCTGAACTACGTAAACAAATAATAACGACAAGTCTTTTGAAAACACTTTTGCAGACAATGTAAGGCCAGGACGAGTAATCAATCCAGAATGACAAAACTGTAAGAGGGTTGGAATCAACCTTAAATTTGAGTAGATAGCAACGAAAAGTGTAGATTCGTCCATATGCAATATAATGCAGGACTCGTATGGTATAAACGAACAACGGCGAGACTCTAATTTAGGGACGACCTTTGAACGAATCTTAAATGACCTTGACAATTATTAGCCAATCAGAAGACAGTATAAAGTGAAAATATATTATAAGAAAGTAATGAATTACAGTGGATGTTCTTCTTTTACATTATCTAAAAACTTGTTAAGGTTTGATAAAGGTTCAGAGGTTCTGAATTCATAATGTATATGGCATAGAAACTCGTCCATAGGGTTAGGGTTGTAGCCCCTCAATAAACACCTCTTCTCTAAAATCCGTTGCAAACCGACCATATAGGGTTAGCACCCTAACCTAACCCTATGGACGAGTTTCTATACCATATGCATTATGAATTCAAAACCTCTGAACCTTTATCAAACCTTAACAAGTTTTTAAATCATGTAAAAGAAGAATACCCACTGTAATTCATTACTTTCTTATAATATATTTTCACTTTATACTAACTGTCTTCTGATTGGCTAATAATTGAAATCGCTCAAACGCTTCTGATTGGCTCGTTCCTAAATTACAGTTTCGCCCGAACAACAACTAGACGAGTTAGTGATAAAAATGTCTTCATTTTCGATAGCCTTCCTCCCTTCACTTGGGAAAATATTCAAAGATGAACCACGAAACAAGCTTGTAGTCTTGAACCTACATATGCGGCATATAAATGGCTGACAATAAGTCTTTTGCTGAACGAGCTGTCGTGACCAGCAAAAATGGAGCATTGATGCATTTAGATAGGAACCTAGGTGTACGAAATAAGTTGGAGTACGAAATACTTCATAAAATTAGTGAGATGTTATCAAGTCTCCAACAGAACAAAAGCTCCCCTCACAAAGAGTTCTATAGAGTTCCTTGGAGCGATCCAAATAATTAGCTTTGACTGCTCTTTATGGGTAGACAAAAATGTCTACAATTCAAACAGCTGTCGCATATCGAAATTGAGAGTACTATAACCAACGTTATGGAAAATAATAAACATGGGTACTTCAGAGAACAACTAAGTTTATGATTTAAGTAGTCACTACGAGATCGCTTTTGAGTTACATATATCTCAACATGTATAAGTCCAGATTTTGTTCCTAGAAGGAAATTTTTGCAACTCGCCTCTGGATTAGTTCCAGTGGAGAACATATTCTACGCACACGCAGTAGGGTTTGATAATGTTACTAAAAATATGTTTTAACAGGCATATGGATGTTAGCATAACGAGCGTCTTAGCAAAGTGTACTTTAGAGGGTCTAATCCCTCCCAAAATATGGTGCTGGAATTTCCCACAATAAAGACAGTTCAATTAAAAGGCAAGATATTTGCCCGAAGTCAGAGTAACATGTCGCAGTAAGACACAATTCCCTCAAAAGTCCGCCACATTTTGGTACAAAAACTTCCCCCAAATTATCTCAAAGATAGCAATATGACAGGGTGTATCTCGAAATAAAACGGTATGCGATGGCATGCGAATTATTCGTCCAATTTATATGTTATTTCAGTCAAAAATACCACAAACCAAACAAGTAACTACTCAACTAACCGAATGTGGTCAAAGCCCAACCGCGACTTCGAGGGAATCTCAAAGCACGCTCCTTTGTTCAATCACCAATTTAAATAATACAATGAAATTTTGGACAAAATGGAAAAAGCTTTTGCTTGACGGGCTTCGGTATTTAGTGACAGTGAATTGTCGATGTCTCTGAGTAGGAATTTGATGACATCTAAAAAACGAAAATACTGGTAAATTATAGTGAGATGTCTTCAGTCCTTAAAATTACTACAAGTTTTGTCTTTAAAGACTTACGGAAGATCGCTGAGATCATTTCGCAAATAGAGAAATGTCTGTCTGCAGTCCGTTCTTCTGTGTCTTGTCCATAATTTCCGGGTGTCACTCGTAAGGTTTGTATTGGGACTGAGCTTAAGTAGGTATTTATGGGGATTCCCTAGAAGTGTCTTGAATGCCATAAGTCTATAGAAGCTAACGTCTAAGATGCCTATACTCCAGTTTGTAAAGATTTGGTTATTTGAGAAGCTCTTCATAAGGTCTGTATTTAAGTGTCCGAACTGATTTCTTTGTTCGTTTTGGGATACACTCAAGCGTATCCTTATACTTTTGTAGTGAGAGGATACACTATATTTCCATTTTCTAAATGAAGTCAGATAAAATTGTTGAGGGCCAACTAGAATGTTCTACCATCGAACGTTACATGTGCAAGGTTTGATCGAAAGGCATTGTTGTTGCACCTAGTCAAAGACTTTAGACCGTAGGCCACAAAGACACTTTGGTCCTATTAAACCTAAGAACCATGCAGTGGGGACTTCCCTAAGTTGTGCGTGTAGTTTGCACATTATCTGAGATGGACTGTTTCATACCTTAAAGTGTTTAATGTTGACCCATTGCTATCCAGTGACCTGTGAAATCGAGTCAGACCCTTTGGAAGTGTCAGCTTATCACTTTGGTTGCGAACCCCTTTGTAAGGATTCTTATTGTCAGCGAAAAGTATTAAACCATACAACACTTGGTGTAGAAGGTTGTAAGATTTAATTTGTTCTACAGATATACTACTAGAACTGTAAACGCGATACTGGCGATCCCAGAGTCGATGTGAAAGCTATAGTCAGAACAAGGACAACTTTTCTTTAAACGTTTCTAAACGTAAAAACAATTAAAGTAGTACAATAACTAAAGGAATTACAGTCATTAAGTGGAACGCAGAAACATACCGACCAGTATTGCAGGTCTTATCGAAATGAATAAAAATTACGAGCCACAATATAATGTCTTTCAATTGGTAGGTCACCTGTAACGGGAATTGTTTACAGACATATCAGAACAGATTGACGTGGTGGGAGCTTAAGCGACAATTTGATTGGTTAGTTATGGACATAACTAACAAAGGTCACTTATATTAAAGATGCCATAGGTATTTGGAGTTTGATAACGACTTTACACGTAACGCCTTCATGATCGAAGGATACCAACTCAGTCAAATCGGAATTCAAGAATGAGGAGATTCGAAGATATCTTTGAAAGTTGTTGATATATAGAGAAGCGTTTGATCTGGGCTGGCTAGTAGTTGCGAAGGATACATACCACGGCATTACCAATCGTGATCTAGTCTGGATGCGCGACCGACTACTATCAGCTATTGTGTGTTCACAAAAGCTAATACAGTCAGCATCATGTCGAAGACCAACAAAACTGCTCATTTTGGAGATTTATTTGCTGATACAACACGAATGAAGAATACAAGACATCCTAGTACTGAATACTAAAGGACACCATCATGACATTTCATAACCTGAGAAAAAGTGAAATTTATCCTTACTCGTAAAGGTGGGTTTTTTATATATGAAGCAAGCTAGTTGTAGGACGAGTGAAACTCCACTGAGCCCTAGCCAAATCATCCGGCAGTTGGGTCATTATATATAGAAAAATTCATTGACCCTCGTCAAGATCAAGGACAACCAATGCGTACCACTTAATCGTACGCCATAGACTGGCCCATGCGGCAATGCTCTTACCTTCGCTTGTATCTACTTTAACTAATATATTTCTGTGATAACGTCCTTTGTGCTGTACAGTCTTCAAAGCATCTATAGTACCTTGATACGTCGATGGGGTAAACCACGTAAGGTGCTGATTGCGAGATGTAACTTCGACATTAGCTAGTTTGTCACACCATTCGCGCCTAGCTCGAATAGGCCTCCAATCATTTCGATATAGATCACCTACGTTGGTGATCTGCATAGTCAGTTAACGGCCAGTTGTTATCTAACTTTTTGAACTTATTGATGAGACATATGTGGTTGACCACACCAAATGGCTTTGAGAAGTCAAGGTACATTTCATCAATCTTCCTCCTCTGGTAGAAAATATTTGTTGATTTGTCCATCACAGTAAGCAGGTTGGTCATACAAAAGTGATATAACAGAGTGACCCTTCTTGCAATCATGCTGCTGAGGTGAAAAGATGTTTGAGGATTGCAATTTGTTACTTAGACCATAGTATGTCTGGAACCTCAATGGTACCGAGAGAAGTGCTATCAGCCGGTTGTTTGAAGTTTTGATGAATCGGCCCCTAATAAAAATCAGAGTGATGTGAGGCACTCTAATTTTCTGGTGCTGTGACTTGTCTTACGAATGCAAGAACATCCCAGTAATCGGTTTTGCCAAGATTGAAGGTGCTCCCTCCAATACAACAGAAAGAACCATATCCAGTTTATAAGAAGTGTCTTCGTTTTGATGCTGCTGCTTACAATGCACAGGTTCATCTCCGAGGGCCACAAGTGAAGCTTTTGACGATGTAGTTTTCATGGGACGGTTGACATTTTTATAGATAATGTTTTGATAGAAAGTAGGTGGTGTCACCATCGCTGTTGATTAGGCCATTCGGGCCTACCAACTGGGAAGCTCCGTTTTTGATTTGCCGAAGAGAGACTGCGTTACGTAATAACCTATTTGGTTTAGAGACAAATCCGTCGATTAGCCTTATCTGATACTGAGGCCAATCTTCTCTTTTTTCCATCATTTATCGGTTCCTAACTTGTTTGAACTGCCTTTATGTGCTATCGCCACTAGTTTGCTTGTATTCCGCCCACGGATGTATTTTGCGTCTTAGTAACTGAAGAGTGCGATTATTGACGACCGTGAGTACCTTGTAATTTTTGAGGACCGTTTGAAATACAGACTATTTTATAGCATATAGGATCGTATGCGATAAGAAATTCTGGTGAGCGTCATATATTGTGTTGAAAGTTGGCTTCCGAGTCCACTTGTCGTAGTGTCGACTGTCGCAAAACTGATATACCCACTTGTTTGTATTTCTAACACCTGTTGTTAGTATGATGTTTTGTTTCAGTTTATCTAACAAACTTGAAGGCTATGACGGCATGATCTTTTTACTCAGAGAAGAAAGGATTGAGTACTTGTTAATTAGTAATTCTTCGTTTATAGAGATGCTGTCTAAGTGTTCAGGTGTGTGCCTATTTCTCCAAAGAGTTGCTAACTTCTTATATTCGAATAAACCCAGATCTTCAATGAAGTTGAAGACCTGAGCTTTAGCAGAGTCGTCACCTCTAATGTACGCATGTTCATCAAAGCTGACTTTATGAAGGTTATAGTAATTTGGAACCAGAATATGAGTGTAACCAAGAATATTAGATCTAGATAATCCCTCCAGTAAACGGTCGCCGCACTCAAGGTCGTGAGAGCGCTTCCTGTAGATAGCCCTGACTAGACATCTCTAGGTGTTCGGCAATCTCACTAAACAGCAAAGATATTCATAAAATTTAACAAACCCTTGAGTGTACACCTAATGTACTACCAAGCAAGATGATAGGTACAGGGCTGCTCTCTCCATTTCTGCTCTCCTATCATGGAGAAATAAATATATACTGGTTATTACCAGTTCTTAATCTGTAATTCGAGATGCCTATGTTTTAGATATTTCTGTTAGATGAGTATTTTCAACGTTACCTAGTAAACGCAACTAATCCATTTTGTTCGGCAGACTCGCGGCCTTTGTATATGGGTAGTCTATACTTTTGATTTGAAATTCTTGAGCTTCCTTATCCTGTTTTCCTGAATAAACCTTATGTAAATGGATAGGCAAAATACACAGAATTTTCCGAGTTGGTTGTCCCTGGCTTTTCCATATGTTTACTTTGTTCTTGGCAGTTTACAAGTGGAATGGTCAGTTCTAATTCGATTTTGTGCCTAATCCTTGCATCATGTGGTCTGTACGGTTGATCTGAATTTCAGTTTTGACCAGTGTCTGTTAATGTGAAATGCTTCGAGATGGACAGACGATAGGAAAGTTATATTTATTAACTGGAATCTAGAGTTCCCGTCCTTCTCGTGAAAGATCACAAAACCATAAGCACAGCGAGCATGTGTAGATGAAAATGAAAATATCAATGAATGAGACTGAATGGATTAATAGGATTTGAGAAGCACATATACACTGGAAAGCAATGCAGTCGCCGAGTGATTTAAACAGATAATACGTAGGTAGACTGTAACCTGTGACCAAACATACATCCACATACAAAAACTATACTAATAATACGAAGATCTGAACAAATTGTTGCTGATCGTGTGACTGTTTGTTAAATGAATTAAATGAAGGGCATGACAAAATCAACGTTTACAGACTCCTGTTTAAGTGAAATGTTGAGGACTAATCATGTCTAGTAATGTGAAAAATATCTCTCAACGCATTGTTCAGCCTGACGCATGTCTCGCATCTAATTTCACTCTTGTTATTATCACATACTATTACCATTCTTATTTTTATTATCATAATGCTATTGTACTCATTTCCGTACTGATGCTGATTTGTCTTTACGATTAAATTACCCATGCTCTTATGATTACTGATCTGTTCACATCTCCTGACCTTCGTTTTCCCTCCATGCCTATGAAATTCAAGTTTGCAATCTCAATACAGCAACGACCCAGTCATCGGTCAGACAGCGTAACAACTGTTGGTTCCAGTATCCGTAGTCCGGTGTGATAAATGGATTAAAACGATCTCAACATACGTCAATTTCCCCGTGTCTGATGCATTCAAATGGCTCGTCTAACTTTATTTGATGCCACCGAAAGCCCGGAACTGTATTGTGGTGGAAGCTGCTTATATCGAGAGAAATAAGTAGTATGTGACAAAAGTCGAAAGTGGAAAACCTGGCAGCACTAGGCTAAGAAGATCAAGTTGGAGAGAAGAGAGGAGAAAATAGAAGGGAATTGTGGACTTGAAGAATCACACAAAACATGAATGGCAAATGACAGAAATTTGCAAACGAAGTATTTAATGTATAGTTCTTATATTTTAAGAAGATAATGTGTAATTTTGTAGTGAAATAAATTGGTTGTCTCCACCTAAGTGTCTGTACCGGTTGGAATACATTACCGTTCGAGTACCATGAATTTTCCTACACTTCTTACTGTACCTCTGTTGTATATCTTTTTGCACCACTAACAATGTTTCTTACTTTAAGATAAAGAAATACTTGGCTGTTATCCTCTTTTGATTTGTTGAACTCAATTTGAACTTCAGTTAGAATGAACCTATTTCATATTAGAACACGCGTGAGTTTACGCAAAACTATGTACGAATATTTGGTAGTTAGAATTGCTAAACCTGAAGCTCCTTGTATAGTGGACAGTAACAGCACCTCTGTCAAAGTCTAATTAAAGTGTATTTATAGCATCCATAGCCTGCATGGACAACTTTAACTTGATTCATTTAAGTGGTTTTCCACTTATTGCCATAAATTCAGTGACCCCTCATACGACGATCAACATCTTTTCGTGTTGGGATAATCAAGGTTTGAACAACCTGTGTGTGATCCAAACTTGGAAACTTCGTCCAGGCTTAAAGTCTATGTGTAAAAATCGACATGGATATTTAAAAAAAGTATAGAGTTAAATGAACCTCAAATTTTTCAAAACCCTTAGATCTACAGTTCACAAAGTTGCCTTAATATTAATCTTTCTCTACTTTATTTTTCGTAGATAAATCAGTAATATACAGGTTTTTCGCACAGAACAATCTGCTGTCGGAAATCGTTAAAAAGACAATGAGTGCTGCACCTTTAACTAACTCATTCAAGATAAAGATAGACACTATCTGAAGTCTTTTGGAAACAACTAACACATTCCGCCAGTTTAATATCACCAACGCACAAATGAAATTCAAGTCTGAGTTTTATTGGGTGTTGAATAACCTTGTATCTTAAGTAGCTCTTTCAATCCGTAGGTCACTCTCATGTCGCAGGTTTACTGTACATAGTTGACATCCAAGTGGATTTCACAGTTGATTATCATTGCGTAAGTGATTGGTTGTTCAGCATACGACTTGCTTGATAACATCATATTTTGGTAAACTGATGTAACTGTTATCCGGACATCTTAGTATTACTAATAAATTATCTTAGTTCCCAATTTCCCTATTTTGGGGGAAATGTTGTGAGGTTTTGGTGAATTTTGAGCCAACCACTTTAAAAAGCTCTGAGGGAAAACGCAAAACCCCCTAAATTCCTTCAGGCCTGGGAAAAATTCCCGAAGTTTTGGGGGGAATTTTCTGGTTTCTCCTCAAAATTTCCACATAATCTTATAAAACCTTGGGGTTTCTCCCAAACTTTAGAGAAAACTTACATATTTTTCACGACTTTTGGGAACACCTCAAGATAGTGAGATAAGGTCAATAAATTTCGTGGTTTAGTCTGATCGATACTTAACTTCTGTTAACTTTATTAGTTTTGAATACTTTGGTGACTTTAGAATTAACTCTTTACTTTATGTATAGGTTGAAGTTTGTCTAGTCATGCACCAATATCCATTTTTTCTCTAGAGTCAAAGTTAACATGACTGCCTGCTGAATCACATTCTGAAAATACTTCAAGTTGTTACTTTAACTGTGTTTTTATTCCTCTTTCAGATATAATTTCATCGTAGGCCTTAATTGAATGAAAAAAGTCATGCGTAAACTAATTTTTATATATTTCTCCTGAAGTAGTATAACCGTAGTAATACGCCATACTAGTCTGTTGTGCTCAGCAGACTTTCGAAGTCAATAGATGAAACTCAATAACGTGCTAATACGTTTGTTTCAAAGTATGATTGAAGCAGTTGCGTACACACAAACAAGATAATCTCAACTCTGATCATAAGATCGCAAAAAAAGTTGACCTTCATTTAGAGCAGTTGACTAATAAAGCTCTTAAAATATATCAGTTCAGGCTCAGGTTCCAGTTTCGATCTATCACAAAAGACGTACATTTTCGGTATACTATCTACCATTAAGCCAACTTTAACGCTTTTAAACTAAAAATACGACAGTTTCATCTACTAATTAACAACCAAGTAGCTCCGCATTAACTATCAACTTTGGATTGGATAGAACAAGCAAAGTTATCAGTTTAGGACATGTCTTCGTGTTATGCAAGATGTAGGGAACCGGGATTCTTCGATCGATTATGACTTTCTAATTGAGGTCTCAGTGACCGTACCAGTCGGTGGGCTGAGACCCTATTAAAAATGAATAGAAGCCATTACATTATTAATAAAAGTGAAGTAACCTTCCTTGAGTTGAGTAATCCTTTCTTGTCTGTACTTTTAACAACTGTATTTCCTATAATTCTATTCATTCATTCATTCTTTGTGCAGCCTTTCCGTTAACCATCTCTTAAGAATACTACTACTTTGTTTGCTTGGTTTAATTTTTACCGACTTACGCTACAATTTACTGGCTTATTTATAGATAAAAATAATTCCTTAGAAACACTTCTCACGCTTATACACAAATTATTTTTCAAAATTTATCACAGTCAACACATACAATTTTATGGGATTTCGACTTGACATAAACTAAGATATTTCGGGAATATTGAATCTTTATGAAGTTTTCCTATCTAGTGTCTACGTACGATTCTTTTTTTGCTCATCATAGCGCTAGTATGCTCTGATTGATATTTTGCTCTCTATATTTTCAAATTAGCGGAATATTTGTCATTAAATATAAAGGATAACTGATATTTTCTCACCAACTGTGTTTAATTGGTGATTGCTCATTATTAATAGTGACCTGAAAGTAACGGGAATCTTTGTATCTTATAGGTTTCCATACTGGGTTATTTTATATTCATTTTAAGATTTGCTACTTTGTCTTGATTAATTTTTCTATTGCTTCATTACTTTTTAGCAGAACACTTCTACAAAACGTACTGGACGTCTTTGTGTTAGCTCAGTTGCCAAAAAAATGCCTATCGAGTTCAGTGTTTTAGAACATGCAGGATAATCAAAGTCTTCGTATTCCTTATTATCGTCTACATCCTGGACGTAACAGATTTTGTTGTCATGGCAGAGGGGTCTTTTCCCGGGATATGTGTATATTCACTATTACCCTCCTTTTAATTATCTCAGTTACAGTTCTCTTTTTTGCTTTTGACTGCCGTTTTTTAACCCCCATCTTAACTCCTGCTGTTCCTATTTTAGCAGCGATGCAGTTCCTATATGTTGTTACTGCATTTCTTCGTACAGCATTCACAGATCCAGGAATTATACCACGGGCCACACGTCCTGAAGTAGAATGGACTGAACTGTCAATTAGTAAGCTTACTAGTCTAATCTATGTTCCTTTAATAGTCTATATATATAAACTTATTAATCTTAACTCCAACTTAGTTTCACTCTTTCTTAATTTTGTCTCAAGTATCGTTTCTGTAAAATATTTAACACTATTAAGGTCTTAATTTTTGAAAAAAAATAGTTTGACTTGAGAAGGCGCAAATATTTCATCAATCACACTCAAGTGAAGTTATAGTTTGCTTTCTTACGGCATCTGCCAACATGCATATAATAATGCACTTCTCATTCCTTTTGTGTTTTTTTTTAAAATTTCTATATACTATATCGCTGGAGATAAAAGTTTCTGAAACTCTAACTGATTACATTTGATCAGTAATCTGCCTTAACTTAGAGCGTCTATTTTCGCATTTTTGATTTAGTGTGTACACGTTCCCTGTTGTGCGTTATTTACTAGAGTTAACCTTATTCTTCTTCAATCATACTAAGACTTATCAACAAATGAACACTGTGTTATGTTTTTCACTCCGAGTTTGTTAATAATATACAAGCTTCATGAACGGATGCCCAATCTGCCACTTGATTGAGATCAACAAATAGTAGGAAATTTTTATTAGTTAACCGAGTTAAAAATATACGCACAACGTATTCGTAACCACATCTGTCTCTCCCAAAAAATGAAGCCGGGTTTTTAACTACTAACGTATTTCTGTTTCTTCAGAAAACTAGGGTAAATCTCGACCATTGGTGTGTTTCCGTTAGCATCCTCCACTTATCTTTTGGTCTACATTTTCTTTGCTTAGCGTATCACCATGTCATTTTACTACCCCACTAATATTCACATTTGATTTGCTTACACTCCCAAGTTAGATGAACTTATTTGCGATTTCTTTATGACATGAAAATTTCTAAAATATAATGATGGGTTCCTATATTCTAGCATCGTCAAATAATAATTTTATATCGTGAACATATGACATTAATCAGTCTAAAATAAAAGTGATCTGGTTATTGAGATAGCGAGGTTGTTTGAAAAAGTTATCCCTCGCGGCATGAGTCAAATAGTCGTGAGATATTTCATCTACATATTTATGCGATCTATAAAACTCTTTGTCGCCGATCCCTAACTACTAATATCGGTCGTCATTATAAACCTTGTGTTGAATAAAAATGTGAATGATGTAATTTCTTTTTTTAACTAGGTACTGGAGATGTATCTGTAAATGACTCGAATAACAAAAGTGAGCATGATGTAAATGCAGTTCGAACTTATCCACCCGGTGCCAGAACACGTCAAATTCTAATTGGAGATCATCTAGTCAAAATTAATTATTGTCATAGTTGTCGAATTTTCCGTCCACCAAGAGCGTCACATTGCTCTTCGTGTGATAATTGTGTTGGTAAGTCGCTTTGAAAAACGTTTAATATCATGTTTCTCGTTTTTGTATTCTTGGGCAAGATAATTTACGGATTAGAAATTCTGTTTGAAGTACTGCACGCTGTTTTAATATTGAGGGTAATCGTAATTTATTGATTTAGGCAGTTTATTCGTCAACTACTAGAAAATAATCCACAATCCTATCTTCAGATTTAACATGATAGGTATAATTCTCAGTCTTGTACCAAGTCTACGCCTGATTTCCTTCCTACTAATTTTGCTTAGTTATCATAGATTACTCACTTTATGTTACTGATTTACACAAATGCAGTTTTCTACATCGTTACAATCCAGAGTATGATTATTACAACGTTATTCCATCAGAAAAATTGAATTTCCACACCAAGAAATATGTTTAAAGATTTTTATTTTTATTCTGATTTACGGATTTTTAGATTTATCTCGTTCACAGATTGTTTTAGCCGTAAGTTGTCATTATTAGTCTGTAATGTGTGTACCACTGAAGAAACTCATCAATACCATGTGTGTCATCCAAAGAATTTTTCGATCCATAATGTATGGTTTGCAAATGATCGATCAAAGCCAAATTTGTAATCTGAAGGTTACTTTCCAACCAATCTAAAGTTTTTTAGTTTGTCTCAAAGAAAATGATGACCTTTGTAATTCTGCCTAGTTCACTAAATTGTAAATCATTCTGCTAGAACTTTTAGCTCACCTTTTAAATATATTATGACTATGTAAACTATAAAACTACGTGGATCGATCAATCCGACTGTAACCAAACGGTGTTATTTAATGCTGACATCCGTTGTTACTATTCTACCATGAAGATATTTAGATGGAGTTATTTTTAAAAAATGTAGTGATCTTTATCTAGTAAGAACATTTTAGTTCTTATTTTAGCTAAAGGATGAATGCTGTTCTAAAATTGACATTTAACCAGCTGTGTTAATTTACATCACGTGTAAGGTGACAATGATTGCTACAAATTATTAAAAGCGGAGTGCTTTAGACATATAGTTTATTTTATTCCTGCACACATGGAGTTGAACTCTTGATTTTCAGAGTTTAACAAACACATTGATTCAATATATTTTTTTGACGTGGTGGTCAACTCTATAAAAGTACCAAATAGAATGATGTTAAAAACAAATATATTTGCGTTTTGTTAGTAATCATACTAGTGATTTTCATTCATTTCACATAGTATATCTATCCACCAGTTTCTTTCACAGTACCCCTCCTTAGTTTAAATAATAGTGATATAATAGTATATCATAGGGTGATGCATATAAGACACATGCCCCCATACTCTTCATTCGTCGTCAATTTTGTGTACTGTGTTTTAAGCCATAGCCCCTGAATGTCCTGGTACGGCTGGGGGTGGGGAGTGTCAGTGCTCATGGGCTTCAGGGTCCTGAAGGAACAAATGGCGTATGAACCAATTATTGGTCATTGGCTACCATGGCACTGCATCTCCTGACGTTGCTCCATTGCCTTGTGAATCAGACCTCTAGGTAGAATGCTCTGGCTGTGGCCCCCTAAGAAAACCACCTGCTTCAGTCTGGGCACCCGGGCACTATCACAGCCTACATACAAATCAAGTGACTTGTGTGACGCATATGTATTTGGTGCCCCTTTTTACCAATGTTTATGTGTTCAAATAAATAACTTAATTAATTAATAAGGCATATTTTGTGTAGTGCAAAATTTTATAAAACTACCCCACTTATCTTGGAATCTGGATCCAAAATCTGCCGAGTTACATATGTGCTTCCGATATTAGATTGATTGAGTTGAGCGTGAGACTTTCAAAAAGCGACAATCAGTATAAGATCTATCATAAAAGTCCATCTTAAGTTTCCACACCAACTCCGCATGATGAAGTAACTACTGTCATGTGTTTTTAGTTCCCCCCATATTGTCTGTCGGGAAGTACAAGTCGCATTTCGATTGGCGAATAAATCACGTAATAATTAGCCGGGCTTAAAGTCACTTAGACCTATAAAGATTGGTTGATAGTCTGTTTGAATAGATGTTGGACTTTCAAACCAAAAATCTTTATAGTAATAAAAATTTTTATAATTGCACATTTTTGCATTTCTTGTTTAAATCCTTGTAGAACGTTTTGATCATCATTGTCCATGGATTGGAAATTGCGTTGGCCAAAGAAACTATCGTTATTTTATATTGTTCATATATTCTCTGAGTATCTATTGTCTTTATATTTTAGTATTTTCAATAGTCAATTTAATTTTATGTAAGTAATTTACATATATACACAATTTTGAATTTCATTATGATCACAAATGATTTGCTGGAGTAAACTAATTCCTAGATAGTCTTTTTGCCCTAGTGTGGGACTGCTTAGCAGTCGATGTTTTTGATCTCACGTAGGATTGAACCCATGACCTTTAGGTCTCCCAACAACCTCTTAGCCTTTATATCATTGGACCGGCATTCAATAGTTTACATACTGAACTTCACCTGATTCGCTATATTGCCCAATCATCTCTCAATATCATTGATAGGAAGTGCCTCACACTTGACATAGCTGAACTCCACTAGTCATGGCTTCTCATTATGGTTTCTAAAGTTACCTCCTGAAATTGGCCACTAGTGAGCACATGATCATTATCAGTATAAGAGTTTTGTAGAGATTTTTCAATTTTTTGGTTCGCATGATAGACCGACTTCAATAAGGGAGTCATTAAAAACCAAGAAGCATTGGATCTTTGTATGCCATCTCAGTAGTCTAAAGGTTAAGCACTCATTGCCAGACTTAAGGATCCTGGGTTTGATCCATAGTGGGGTTATGGATGCTCATTGCTGAGGGTCCCGTACTTTATTACTTATCAGCTGTCCGGTTCTTCCTGGTTTTCAACAGCTGTTGTAAACTAAAATTCAACGATATTCTCAAACCTTCTGTACTAATAATATCCTCTAGATTATGACACTTATACTCTATTTTGTCATTAATTAGATTTTAATAGCATTTTGTCTCCTTATTGGAGTTGTTGCTTTATCATTGAAGTACTCTGACGTATGAACAGTTGGTCGTAAACTGAAACTTCCCTACATCTATTTCAGTTTAGCCGGCTAATTATTATTTCTCGTTAGTCTTTTAAATAATGTAGATTTAGGTCATATACATAAGCTTATGTGTACCCTTAGTAAAGGGGTTTAACTGTCATATTACATAATACATTAGGTACTGTCCATTATTGTTGATATATTGGTTTTGTTTCTTTGATGAGGAGTTTTACCGTCTTCTTAAATTTAGCCACTGTCTTTCTCTTGTTCCGTTCAACTCGTCTGTGTTTTGAAGGAGAAGATAATCCATTTTTTTCTATTTTAATATGTGTTTACTCATCAGTGGAAAATGTTCGGAGAAATTTGTGTTTTTCTCACAATAACCTTATTGGAGAAATACTTTCTAAGCTGAAATTTTTCTTTAAAATTCAAAACCTTTTTATTTTTTCACAATACTTTTATAAAAATTATGTTTTTATTTTGCCAACTATTGATTGAATTTTTTGGATTCCAAACGTTATGATTTATTGATTATTAGTTAAATTGGATTCACGGAATGTATCTGTTTATTTGCTTTTTTATTGAGATCATGAACCGGTTACAGTTAGACAACCACCGGAAACACTAGGTCTTGGTGTACTAGGACTCGGTTGTCTAACCTTCTACATCATTGGATCTCGGCCTAGTGTTTTGAAGACTAGGCATGCTCACTTGAGACGAAAGGTCTTGGGTTCGATCCGTGGTAGTAGAGTCATGAATGTATGCTTTCAAGCGGTCCTATACTAGGAAGAAACAGCTGTCCAGTGCTTCCAGGTTTTCAATGGTTGCCTAACTTAAATCGTCTTGTGATCCCAATAGAACTCAATAATCTCTACAATATCCGCATTTGTTTTTGTTTGGTTTATTTAACTGCCATCTATTTACTTCATATTTATTCTGGTAGATTTGTTTAATTTATTCAATTAGTATCTTTTGGGAATATCTACTTTTTGATTTATTGTTTTATGTAAAATGGATTTAGATTGGGTTCGTGAATTATTCTTCATGATATTTCTATAGTTATTTATCTATTTATTCAACTCATTTGTCAGCTACACCTTTATGTACTTAACCTAAAGCTACACTCTGTGTGAGGGTTTTTATCCTACCGGTTACCCACACCGAAGTAGGTGGGTAGTGATTAAAACCAACAACTCAGTAGCTGCAAGTCGAACACCCTAATCACTACCGAGCCATAACTTCATTATGAATTTGTTTGGAGTTGGTTAACGAGAAAATATATAATCATCCTTAAAGTTCTATTGTGTGTATTTACTCACAAATTCATCAATGTTTTTGTAATGATTCAGTATTATTGTACCCTTATATGATTCCAAATAGTCTTGGAAATGTAAGTTATGAAATCGATAATTATTAATTCATAGCAATTATGTTAGTTGTTGTGACTCGTCGATTTTAGTCAAATCAGTAGTAGTAGTGTAGTGAGTGCTATTCATGCTGACAGATATAAGTAATACGTAGCCGTCATTGGAAATGGAATACCTGGCAGCAGAAGATTAAATTAAAGATAACAGAAAGGAGATTAAAGAGCAATCAATAATAATTGTATAGGTAAAGGACAACGCAAAGAAGATGTAAGCCACTGTGTAATTTTGCATTATACCATAAATTGGTTTACCCTATAAGTCTTCGTTCGGTGCAGTAGTAGTATTAGTATTACAAAGAAAAAATTAAGAAATAGTAAAACAACTACACCAAGAAATAGACTAAAAATAATCCATTATTATCGTCATAATAATCAAGGAATATATGTTAGTCAAAATATCAACAAAATCTTCCCATTTCCATACGTTTTCAATCTACAGTTCAAAATGAATTATATTCGTTTATTTTCGATCGTTGTTCGGCAAACAAAAGAGGAACTGTACGGAAAACACCAGTTATTATTGAATAAGAACAGTCATATATTATTTGTGTGTATGTATAGCTTGAAATGAAATTCACTATTTGACTTTAATCACAGACTGACATCAGCTGTCAAGCCATTGACAACTGGTGACGATCAATCACGTCAGTTAGTCAGTCATAATCAATGTAGAGGCTGGAAAATAAGCATGCTTACCTGAGCTGCCATACCGGCTCAACACGATGAAATGAAATTAACAAGGTGATTAGCTTGGACGTCGAAATAAAATAGTGATAATAATGACTCGAAATATTAAACGTTGTGAATATATTTCGGAAGGACTGAATGAAAAGGTCTGTCCGAAGGAATACTGGCAATCAAGATCCAGTGTAAGACAAAAAGTGAGTGGATCTGCTCCATTGTGACAGACTACTAACCATATCTCCCAGTCTTCAATCACTAATAGCGTTTACTGCATAGATCCCAATTAGGAAGTTTACATTTATCAACATAACTCAGACGTACAGTCAGTTGTCCTTTGGTTTGTTGGCTATGATGTCACTCTATGGTAGTCACACTCTATCTCAAGTTAACTAAAATTAGAATTGCGGATAATTATGTTTCAACTTAGTTGCTTATCAGTATATTACTGGTTGCCATATTTGTAGTTCCTGTATTCAACTTTTGATGAAATGATAAATCTCAAACGAGATCTAATCTTTCTTTTTTAATAAAATTTTCAGCTTATTTGTCGCTCCATATTTGTAAGAAACTATTCACAAATTGTAGCCTTTTTTTGTAAAGTCCTCTTAACTCTTCATGGTACAACTGTTCATATTTTCTTTGTTTAATCCTCTTATTTTTGATTATAGCCCTAGTCTCAGTTTATTTAATGCCTTCAGCCATTAATTTGTTCTTCATTGAACCTTTTATCATTTCCACGAAAAAATAGTCAACAACATTCTCGAATTGTTCAGTCTTCAGATAATTAAAATAACCCATAGTGTCGCTGAATAAGAAACAGAATTCAGCGAGGAAAATTTTCTTTTCAACGAAATCTGTACATTCGTATATATAGTTATATGGAAAATAGATGTCTATAGGAGGATACAAAAGATTGCATCATACAAATGGATTCGAGAGTAAATAACAAATGAGGTTACGTTCTAATCAAGGGGTAAGGAAGAAAATCGTTTATGGATCACATAATAGTCCAATTGACAAATATTAAGAAAAGCGACAAACACAAAGGTCATAATAATAGACTGAATAATAATCAAATATTGGGTTTAGGTAAACCATATGGATTCGAGAGAACTGAACCCGAAGGTTTTAGTATATTAAACTTTTCATTGTTCATGACGTTCATTTTAAGAAGCTTTAATAAATTGGACTTCACTCTGGATTCCAATTTTCTAACATTAATATTAGATGAAGCGTCCTGCAAGAATTTACTCTGATCACCCAGTATAAATAACATTTTTTCTTTATAGTCACATTTATTGATAACGACCACCCGTGAACCTTTGTCAGGTCTGAGGATCACAATATCTGATCTACTCTAGAGGTTTTTTAATGCGGCGAAATGTTTAGAAGTTAAAATACTCCTTTGTCTGATTTAAGAACTGTGAAAGTGGTAGGCAACGTCAACCAATTTTTCCTATCTAGGGTGGTTGGGACAAGAGGGTTCAACTGATCATAGAGATTTTCAAATTGAGTATCTATCGACAGATCAGAAATCTTGGTATGTGCAACGAATAAATTAAATCCGAGTGATAGGGCTTCCTTCTCAAATACAGAAAGCCTAACATTTGATAAATGTGATACATATTTATCAGGGTTAAATTGAAATGAATTTCCATCATTATCATCCATAAGAGATTTACTCAGCTTTTGTTTGGTAGTATAATTTGTTTTAGCAACCACTGTACTGCAAAAGTTCATGAATTTAATATGACATATATAAGAGAGATATTCGATAATACGCATGATGCCTGAGTATGAAGTTTAATTAGTTTATTTATCATATCATTGCATTTTTCTTTATGAGATTTCGCAAGCCGCAAAAGATTAGAAACATTTGGATGCAACTTATTGGATCGTAAGGATTTATAAAACTGTCTTGGAAATGTGTGTGTAATAATGCAGGTCTTGTAAAACTCCAGTTTTACCTTTTCAGATGCAATTTTGCACTTCAGACTAGCAAGTTCATCTAACCGTTTGATGCAAGACGAAGGGAGTCTTCTTTTCAAGAATTTAAAGCAATTAGTTCCTTTTATAAATTTCGATAGAACAATGAGAAGACGGAGTTTATCTGAAAA